CACACACACTCACTCACATACACACAAACACACACACACACCTGCCCCCCTCCCCCCTTACCTTGGAGCTGCTCTGCCAGGCCCCCCCCTGCTCCAGCCCCCCTTACCTTTGAGCTGCTCTGCCAGGGCCCCTCCTGCTCGGACCCCCCCTGCTCCAGCCCCCCCTCCTCAGGTGGCACTTCCACCAGCTGCTCTACTGCGACATCCCCTCGGCACAGCGGACAGTGGGCGTTCGGCTGCAGGAATCAGAGAATGAACATCGTCAAAACTTGGGTACTTTATTCAGTCCATTAGCTGTCGTACACAAATACACAAATACACGAATACGCAGCTATTAAATCTTCCTGGACCGTAAAGACACAGAACAAGGACATACAAACTACATAAAGGCTAACATCTAGTATTTGCAATTAAAACATGGTTAATCAATTAGGGTTGATGATATGCAGCACGAGCTTCTGCCGAAACTTACACTTACTAGCGCATTTAACAAAACTCCGGGAAGATTAGCTGCATGTAACTAGTTTGTACGACAGCTCATGGACTTGATAAAGTATCCAAGTATCCACATAGCTGGTAAACCTCACCTGGGGAGAAATCTGACAGCAAAAAACTGGAAGGCAGAGGGTAAAGGTTAGAGGTTAGAGGGGAAGGGTTAAAGGTTGGGTTACCTGTTCGATCCTGATGATGGGCAGACAGAGGGTAAAGGTTAGAGGGGAAGGGTGAAAGGTTACCCGTTCGTTCCTGATGACGGTACAGATGCACTCCCGGCAGAACACGTGTGCGCAGTGCGTAATGACCGGCAGGCGGTGGGTAAAGGTTACAGGTTAGAGGGGAAGGGTGAAAGGTTACCCGTTCGTTCCTGATGACGGTACAGATGCACTCCCGGCAGAACACGTGTGCGCAGTGCGTGATGACCGGCAGGCGGAGGGAGTCCAGACACACGCAGCACTCCTCGTCTGCGCCGGAACTCAGAACCGCCTTCAGCACAGAAACCAGCTTCTCCCGCAGCTCTGTGCTCGTGCTGGACTCTACGCCTGGTGGTCAGAAAATACAGACATGTCAGAAACTACGCCTGGAGGTCAGAAAATACAGACATGTCAGAACCCAGGCCTGGTGGTCAGGAAATACAGACATTTCATATCAGGTTGGAAACCAGTGGATAACGTTGTTCTCATTAATGGTTTGGTGTCCGTATGTAACCTTCCTGCTACCCAAACTGCAGGTTTGGTGTTTTGTCCTTAAAGGGATACTAAGCTGCTGAACAGGATGCTAGGCTATCTAAGCTCATAATCGATTAGTACCGTCTGTGAGGGTCTGTAGAGCTAGGCTAGGTTATTGAGAGGTAAGCTACCATCTGTGAGGGTCTGTAGAGCGTGTGCCACCAGCGAGGGATGACAGCAGAGCTGCCGAAGTCTCAGCAGGACGGCCAGCACATCTGCGTAGTGGGTCAGCACAGAACCTTCACGGAAGTACCTGGACAAACAAGAACAGCGTCTGATTCAGATATAATCCTCTAGTCTTACATCAAACTCTCACGGAAGTACCTGCACAGCAAACAACATGCAAAATCATCAGTCTAACCTTAAACTTAGTCCTTTCTCTTATGTTAGGTGTCAGGGTGTGCCTGAAGTGAATTCTGAGCTGTCACAAGGCCCTTTAGAACGCACTAATATTTTGTAAAGAAAAATGTCTCTCCCGTCGCCCCACCTGCCGACCATGACCTTGCCCTCCGTTGCCATGGCGTCGTACACGTCCCGCTCGTCAGGTGACATTTCTACGTGCTGGATAAACACGGTCCGAGGCGGGAGGCTCACGAGGGGTTTTCCATCAACCTGCTGCGTCTTAGTGCGGCGCATGGCCAGGTTTCCCATCAGCCTCTGCAGCCGTCTGAGGGAGAGAATGAGTGAATGAATGAATGAATGAATGAATGAAAGCTGGATGAACACAGTTCTTGGTGCGTCGCATCCCCAGGTTTCCCATCAGCCTCTGCAGCCATCTGAGGGAGGGAAGGAGAGAATGGATGAGTGAATGAATGAATTAATGAATGAGCAAATGAAAGAGTTAGTATTTGTCCTGCACACAACCAGAATTTTATCTAATTTTTCTTTTTCATCTGCAAACCTTTTCCAAGAGAAAGAAGGAAGGATGGAAGAAAGGAGGAAAAAAAACTTCTGCCTGTCCAAAAGGATGGAACAAATGATTGATCTAAAAGAGGGGTTTGCCAGTACCAGGTTTGTTGCATGTGTCCAGATTTCAGACTTACTTGAGTGCGCTCTGGTCCCCCAGCCCGACCGGTCTCTCGATGGTTCGCCGCCACCACTGTCTGTCTGTGAAGGGCTCCACCTTCAGGAAACACACCACCGACCACAGGTCCTTCATCGAGTTCTGGATCGGAGTGCCTGCAGAGGGGGTTTTGGTTTTTTTTTAATGTCCACGATCATGATAATGATCATTCTAGCACACTCATTTTGAGCCTTTATTTGAATAATTATGATATAGATATGTTAGGTTTTATTTGACATTAGGTCTTATTCAACACACTTATTTTATTGTTGTTACTCTCTTTATGTAGTTTGCCATACATTGTACCATGTGCAATTGTCGTGCAATAAAGTTTCTTTGAGCGAAGTGAGGAAAGTCGTGTTAAGTGCCTTTCCCAAGAGCACAAGGTTGGTGACTGGGCAGCATTCGAAAATGGGATGAGTTGGTTCTGAGCCGAATGCTCTGCCGTTACACCACACGACACCAAAGAAGGGGGATGGGAGCATCTTTCAAAAAAGACAAACTTTCTGCAACTTAATATTTAATATGATCTACTGCTCAATGCTCATGTCTGAGTGGAACGGTAAAAAACTGGCTCATGTTCTTGTGTTGGAAATTGCAGTTCAATTCATAACACATAGTGTTAATAGAATTCAGTTGACTTCAGTGATTTCTTTCAGTTTTCAGTTACACCCATATATATATAATATTAATAGCTCTGCCTAATCTTAACCTCTGACCTCAAACGCAGTATACATGTAGTTTCGATTACTTACTTACTTACTTTATTTACTTGATTTGTGTGATATAGATTTAAACCTGTTTAGCTGGTGTAAATTTTGAACTTGTAAATATATAAGTATTGTTATGTCCCGTAAGTTGTAGCTGTATGTACCTGTTATCATTTATGTAGACTTACGTGCATCAGCTTTTGCTGCCTGTAAGTCTGTGTAATGTGTTGCCCTGTATTTGAAATAAATAAATAAACACACTGACCTGTGAGCACCCATGTCCTGTCAGCCTTCAGTGCGAACGCTGCTTTACTCTGCTGCGCTGCAGGGTTACGGATGGTGTGACCTTCGTCTAACACGACCCTCAGCCACTGCACCTGCTGCAGGGGGCCACCTTTTCCCTGGAACATACATGGGCATGGTTAAACATTCATTAATTCATTCATAAAACTGCTGCAGCGGACTACCTTTTTTCCTGGAACATACGTGGGAATGATGCAATATTTGTTCATTCATTCATTCGTTCATCTTTTCATCGATTCATTCATCGATTCATTCATCGATTCATTCATCGATTCATTCATTCATAAACCTGCTGCAGCGGACCACCTTTTCTCTGGAACACACATGCAGGCATGCTGGAACATTCATTCATTCCTTTGTTCATTCCTTCGTTCATTCATTCGTTCATTCATTCATTCATTCATTCATTCATTCATTCATTCATTCATTCATTCATTCATTCATTCATTCATTCATTCATTCATTCATTCATTCATTCATTCATTCATTCATTCATCCATCCATTCCTTCCTTCCTTCCCTGGTACCTTAGCATCCATAGCCAACATCTGGTAGGTAGTGAGGACCACATCTTGCTGCTCCAGTTCTGCAGGGTCCTTGGTCCGATCAGGCCCATAGTACGTGTAGATGTGCAGGTCCACATTTGGGTGGATGTGTTCTTCTAACTGGTCCTGCAGATTAACATACGGCAGGAAAATTTGTTAAAAGAGAAGTAAGTGGATCCAGAAACACCTTAGTGCAATAAACAGTCATGCATATGAATGTACATGTGTGTGTGCGTATGTGTGTGTCTGTGTGCGTGTGTGTATGTATGTGTATGCGTGTGTGTGCATTATGAATGTACACGTATCTTGTGTGTGCGTGCGTGTGCACATTTGCGTGTGCGTGTTTATATGTGCGTGTGCGTGCATGAGTGTGTGTGTTTGTGTGTGCATGTGTGTGCGTGTATGTGTAATATGTGTATGTGTATGTGCGTGTGTGTGCGTGCATGCATGTGTGCGCGCGTGTGTCTGTGTGTGCGCGTGTGCGTGCGTGTGTTTGGTGTCTGTCTGTGTGTGTGTGTGTGTGTGTGTGTTTGTACTTACGATCCAGTTACTGAGCACTGTCTGTATGTAATACTTTGTGTACTCTCTCTAGTACTTCAGTGTGTGTGTGTCTGGGTATCTACTTAGCAATACTATATGTGTGAGTCAACTGTGTAACACTGCATACTTACAATCCAGTTACTGAGCACCGACAGTGGACACACCACCAGTGTCGGTCGAGGTCCGTCGGCCTCTGTCCTACCTCCACCTGTCGGGGCTTCCTGACCTGCATAGCAGGGGCACAGGAAAACCATGAGCTTATTCTGATGATTTAGCTTCATTTGGATCAATAGTCCATTCAATATAAGAATGACTTATGCAATGCTGGTTTGGCTCATTGTCTATAACCCTGATTTTTCTTACTGTATCTGTATAGCTGGGAAAACCGCCCTTCAGCGTAACACACCAGCTTCTGTATCTGTATAGCCAGTATAACCGCCCTTCAGCGTAACACACCAGCTTCTGTATCTGTATAGCCGGTATAACCGCCCTTCAGCGTAACACACCCGCTTCTGTTTCTGTATAGCCGGTATAACCGCCCTTCAGAGTAACACACCAGCTTCTGTATCTGTATAGCTTGTATAACCGCCCTTCGGCGTAACACACCAGCTTCTGTATCTGTATTGCCTGTATAACCGCCCTTCGGCGTAACACACCAGCTTCTGTATCAGTAGAGCCAGTATAACCACCCTTTGGTGTAGCACACCAGCTTCTGTATCTATATCTGTATCGTTAAAGCCAATTAAATTTTATGTAACTCTAACCAGACTGGTTTAAGGTCCCACCTGAGGCTGCTGCCTTCCCAGAGCTCTTCTTGCCTGGCGTGGGCTTCTCCAAACAGGGCAGGTCGGGGAGCTCTGTACAGGAATAAGTCAACAGGGAAACATCATGAAATAAAGAGTCTAAACATTATTATGAACTTAAGAGTCTATGCTTTAACTTCCAACTGGTTGTGTAAAAGAAAACTCCACTAGAAAAGTATCATTTGCAAAGCAAATGCACAATGTTTACCTTTGGATATGGTCTGCTCAATTAATTCTTACTAAAACACATTCACTGTGATTCACATACATGTGAGTCTATATGCCTACAATGAAATTGCCACATTGTGTAACCCGACACCAGTTACTTTGGTGACAGACGTAAACAAAAGAGGCCATTGGCCAGGTCAGAGGTTAGTGTTTGGAGAAGAAGAAATGGAGCAAAAACAATATCCTGGCTTTGCAAAGTTCAAAAGAAGTAAACATTTACCATCCTCGTCTTCCTGACTGTCAGTCTGAGGCTGGCTGGTCCCCTCGACTGGAGGAGAAACTGTCAGGTCCACAACGTCTTCAGAAACTGTGCACTTTCCCTTTGACGTCTTCTGAGACTTGCCTTTCCCCTTGCCTTTCCCTTTCGTCTTACTTGTAGACTTGCCGCCCTTCTTGGCCTGATTGTCAGGAACAGCAGAGGACATCTTGGCTGAGAGAAAAGAAAGAAATATTTTTTAAAAACATTTTTGGTCACATTTTAAACTTTGCCACCTACTTTACATGTATTTCTTCATCCTTGTCTTATCCAATGGGATGGGGCTCACTCTGTGACCACTGCTTTTCTGTGTGGCCCTTGAATGAACACAAACCAACGAAACCTATATTTTTCACGGTTTTCGCTGGATGTTTGGTCAACATTCCATCAGAATTTTGCTTGTGGCAGAGGATATCTTTTTGGACGTAACATTTGGAAACTACAGATGGGATGTTAACCTTATATGCACGAATACAACCTTATATGAGACCTTCTGCTAAAGTGCTATGCACAATACATTACGGGTTTCACACAGGTGCAGTACATTCTGCCAACATGCTACCCAGACTAGTATTCAATTTGTTGTTCTACCTTTCTTCCTGGGTGTTTCCTCCTCACTCATTCCCTCCTCCTCACTACTGAAGGTGTACCTCACTGGCTTACGGGTGGACCTGCAGCAATGAAGGTGGAGCAAAATTTCATTAACTATTTACTCTTTTTACTTCGTTTTACTTTTTTAAAACCTTTTTTTAATTCTTTTTCAACATTCATCTTTGCAAGTGTCAAGAACATGTTGTACACTAGATAAGAGTAACTTAACACAAGTATGTAAGCCTACAGAAATATCTAGGTGCATCTGTGCACCAAATTTTGGCACATTTGGCATTGAAATGTCTGTTTTCTCGAATGGGTATGACATGAATAAATACAACACGGTGTATTCCGCATCACCCTCGGTCTCAGTTCTCCCGCGAGTCGGATCGATACCCCGGGTGATACGGAATACCCCGTGTTGTATTCTATACATAACTCCAGCCGTGCCCAACAGTACTGTGTCAACACTTTGTTTTACTTGACACTGTAAGGATTTTAGACATTGAACAAGACTATTTCTTGAGAGGGGTGAAGGAAGCCATATACATCAGGGCCCATCACCCTACATTAAACCGCGACGGGGGCCGACATCATCTACCAGATACCTTTGACCTAGTGTTGATGTCACACTTCAAAGAAGCCAGGTGACAAGCTTCACTGGGTCAGTCTACTGAGGAAGACCAGAGTGACTAGTCGAAAGCTCTAGGTGAGAGAACTTTGTGTGTTGGACAAACTTTAAACAAGTACTGTGTCTGCTTACCTGAAGGGTCGTGACCAGATGTTGGGGGACACCGCGGGCGGCGCCGTCTTGGCTCATGTCAGCTTCAGCTTCGGAGCACAACCAAGATAGACTAACCTTGCTGACATTTCGGTGTCTATCAGACACCTTCCTCAGAGCTTCTGACTGGAGTACTGCTTCTTGCCACTATATGCAGCCGACGTAGGTGGCACTCTTTTGCGGTGAGAACACAATCCCAAACATGGCAAAGAAAACTCCTATATCCTACACTTTACCAACCTGATGAAACTATTTGCGGACGTTTTGTAACTGACCTGGAGGGTCGTGACCGGATGTTGGGGGACACCACGGGCGGCGCCGTCTTGGCTCGGGTCAGCTTCAGCTTCGGCGCGTACTCCGGATCCTCGGCCGTCGTCATGGCAACCACGTCGCCGTCGGAAACCGGACTGTCCGACTCCGACTCTCCTGGAAACAGAGAAACGCGCAGAAATTATCGTTAGGGCAACACTAACACTCGTATGATACCAAGAAATTATCCAGTGAACATAACCTGTAGCATACCTGTATAGGTTCACTGGTTATATTAGTAGAAAGACAGGGAAACGTTCACAAATTACCGTTAGGGCAACACTTTAACACCCATATGATACCAAAGAAACTATCCAGTGAACATTAAGTGTAGCATAGAGGTTCAGTGGTAATATTAGTAGAATGTTCAATGCAGATTCTCCTGGAAACAGAAAAAGTGCCAGTAATTATTGTTAGGGCAACACTTTAACACTCGTATGAAATTATCAACTGAACATAACCTGTAGCATAGAGGTCCAGTGTTTATGTTAGTAGAAAGACAGGGAAACGTTCTCATACACTGTCAAGTGTAGTTTGCTAATTGTAGTCTGCTAATTTACAGCCAAGAACAGTTATTTATTATTATCATAATTATATGACTAACCTGAGCTGCTTTCCTCCGACTCTGTGTCTGAGTCCTCCTCTTCACTGTCAGACTCCACCACAAACTTTTCTCTCTTTCCTCTGTTCACCGCCTTCTTCCTGTTGGTGCCTTTGGCACCTCCCGTTCTGGCTTTAATGGATTTTCCCTACAAACAAACAAAAAAACAAATATGATAATTATGATTCCACTGCCTGAGTGAAACAGGGAGGGGACAAACTGTGATTTCTGCAACAAAAACAAGTTATCATTTTTATACAATAATTCATGACAAAGTTAACTTAATTTTGTATGTAGCCTTATCAAAACCTAATTTAATTTGTAGTCATCAAGTATCTTATTTAATACCCCCTACATTAGTTGTAATGGTACCTCCCACCCCGTACCTTGCTTGTAATGGTTGCCCCCTCCTGAGGCAGCACCAGAGCCCCCCCCCCCCCGTACCTTAGTTGTGATGGTTGCCCCCTCCTGTGGCAGGACCAGAGGCTTCCCACTGTGGAAGTTGCTCAGGATGAGGGAGATCACCACCAGGGTTTTCCCCAGGCCCATGTCGTCTGCCAGGATACCTCCACGCACGCTCTGTGGTCGCCTGGCAACGGGAAGGATAGAGTTACATGGTCGCCTAGCAACAGGAATGGTTTCATGGTCGCCTAGCAACTGGAATAGTACAGAGTTACATGGTCACCTAGCAACAGGAACCGTTTCACGGTTGCCTAGCAATAGGAATGGTAAAGACATACATGGTCGCCTAGCAACAGGAATGGTACAGACATACATGGTTGCCTAGCAACAGGAATGGTACAGACATACATGGTTGCCTAGCAATAGGAATGGTACAGACATACATGGTTGCCTAGCAACAGGAATGGTACAGAGTTACATGGTCACCTAGCAACAGGGACTGTTTCACAGTTGCCTAGCAACAGGAATGGTACAGAGTTACATGGTCACCTAGCAACAGGAACCGTTTCACAGTTGCCTAGCAACAGGAATGGTACAGACATACATGGTTGCCTAGCAACAGGAATGGTACAAATTTACATGGTTGCATAGAAACAGGAATGGTACCTTGTGGATGTAAAGTTGGTGACGGAGTTGAAGAACTTGTTCGTGCCTCGCTCCTCCCAGAACGGTGGCAGCTCGTTGGAGTTTTCCCTGCGCGCCATCCAGGCCAGCGCCTGCTTCTGGTGCGGGAACAACGACGTCCGGATCGACTAAACAACAAACGAGACAACAAAAATTACAATAACAACCAGAAAGGTAACATTTGCTAAGCAGATGCATAATGTTCATATTATTATCTACATGTACATTGGAATGGTCTACATCAACAACCTACTGCTTTGCTTATTCCTACTTAATAAACACATTTATATGTATTGTGACCAGCCCCTCCAAGTCTGCCCTCAAGTCAGCCATCTAGTCCAGGTCATTGACCTTACTTGTTTGGAAGAGAAGAAAAAGAAACAGAGCAAAAACAGCTTGTTTTCCTTCTGTAATTCGAGAATTGTCATTCTTGTCTTGAAGGCGACTTGGTGCTTCCTTACCTGACAGGGTTCTATCTCAGCCGTCTGGTCCGACTCCTGGATATTTTCAAACAGCTGATCCAACTCGTTCTTCATCTGAGACAAACAAACAAACAAACAAAGTCTAGTCAGGCACCTCCACGAATGGTTTCACCAGATTAGTGAATTTGGTTCTAAACTTCTTAAACCATGAGTTTGTGCCTAGCAGACGTTTCACCTAATAAGGTTAACATCCCGTCTGTAGTTTCTAAATGTTGTGTCGGAAAAGATATCGTCTGCAACAGGCAAAATTCTGATGCAACGTTGACCAATCCAACCGAAATCATGAAAAATCAGGGTGTTGTGAAGATGCAGTACGTTCTGCCATGCTAGCTGCAGTGCAGAGTACAACAGTGCACATATACATGTATGCAACAAAACAAGCTGATAATACATAAGTGGGGTTGCGTGGCATAATGGCACAGCATTTGGTTCACAACCAAGAGGTCCCTGGTTCGAATCCTGCCAAGTCGCCAATCTTGTGCCCTTGGGAAAGGCACTTTACTTTGCTCAGGTGAAAATGATTACGCCAGAATGATCTTTATCATGATCGTGGGCGAAAAAGAAAAAAACAAACACAAACCACCCACCTCAGCCTGTTGTTTCCTTTGTTAAGAAAAGTACCATATAACAGTAAACCCTAAAAAGTTCTGACACTGAGATGTTAAGAATATGCTGTATACTACAATACATTTAACATCTTCACATACATAAACCTACGAAAATATTTGGGTGCACTGGTGCACCAACAGAAGAAAATTGGGTGTATGCACCCAGTATTTCCAGCCCTTAACAGTGTACATGATTGAACATGTGTGCAACAAAACTACAAAGCTAGCAGAGAACACAAACCACCCACCTCAGCCTGCGTCATCTGAACTGCTGACATCAGAACACGGTCCATGTAGGAGGGTCCAGCCCCCTCCCTCCCTCCTCCAGCACCGGCAACCCCCCTGTTGGCCCCAGACCCCCCTGCACCAGGAGGGGGTTTGATCTTGTAACCGTGATACTCCAGTTTCTTGATTGTGGCCTCTCTTTTCTCCGGACGACCCCAGAAACTCAGGTCCACTGGCATGGTGAAGATATTCATGGCTCCATGAGGAACCACACTGGAACAAAACAAAATAAAAATAGCATTTCTAAACTAAGTTTAACCTTTAGCATACTAAGTAGCAGTTTGGCCACCAATTCTCTATTGGTTACAGGATTAGGAGCAGGGAGAAGGTTAACACTTACAGGCAATTCCATATAACAAAACAAGATACTTACATTGTACATCAAACCACAGCATTTAAGTTCAAATTCTAACCATGTTGAATGTTGAGTTACAAACATGTGCTACTTCCAAGTTCATCACACATTTTTTACAGGAGTCTAAATCTCTCCTTCTATAAAATTGCAACATGACGTAACCTAACACTAGTTACCATGGTGACAGACATCTGGTTCAGTTCACCACGTCAATGTTTGGAATGGAAGAGGAAACCAAGCAAAAACAATATGTTTTCCTTTGGTAAACATGATAAATAAATAAACAAACAAACATGTGGTACTTACCCCTCGACCCTTGCCAGCCCCTGGTCCACGATGTAGGCCAAAGGTCGCGCCAGTTCACGCTTGATGTGTCCGACCTGCACGCCCATCACGTTATCCACGCGCACCGCGTTACTGTCATACGGGTTCCGCGGCTCTCGCACAAGCGATACCATCTCATTTCTGTTTACCTGTAAACAAACATGACTGTGTTGGGAGGCACACATAGATGTCAGGGCTCTCCCCAAGCAATGGAACAAGGGTGCTCCTCTCTCCCCAAAATGCTGGCACCTCTTCCAAAATGGTCAAACTTAGGGTTTTCCCTTAGTTTTTCATTAAAATTTTTCGTCAACTGATTAGAGAGCACCTCTCCCCTAAGAATTTCTTGGGAGACCTCTGGGTGTACTTATAGATGTTCAGTACAGGACTTCTTCTTGTGGGATTGACACTGCAGATCTTTGGGCTGGCAGACTAGGGAGAAAACTTTCAGTTGTTGTTTACCTCTTGTTGTATACCTGTAAGACAACAGCAAACACGTAGAACAACAGACAAATACCAGTGGATCCGCAACAGAGAACCAGAAAATTGACAGAATGACAGGACTGACCTCTCCCCTGTAGTACCTGATCCCTATGATTGATTGATTGATTGATTGATAGATTGATTGACTAATTGACAGAATGACAGGACTGACCACTCCCCTGTAGTACCTGATCCCTATGATTGATTGACAGATTGATTGACAGAATGACAGGACTGACCTCTCCCCTGTAGTACCTGATCCCTTTGATTGATTGATTGATTGATTGATTGACAGAATGACAGGACTGACCTCTCCCCTGTAGTACCGGATCCCTATGATTGATTGATTGATTGACATATTGACAGGACTGACCTCTCCCCTGTAGTACCGGATCCCTATGATTGATTGATTGACAGATTGACAGGATGACAGGACTGACCTCTCCCCTGTAGTACCTGATCCCTATGATTGATTGATTGATTGATTGATTGATTGACAGAATGACAGGACTGACCACTCCCCTGTAGTACCTGATCCCTATGATTGATTGATTGATTGATTGACAGAATGACAGGACTGACCTCTCCCCTGTAGTACCTGATCCCCACGATGTTCCCTCGCAGAGTGCCGATGAGAACCTCGTGGTCCAGGTCGTCGTCTCCCATGGCAACGGTTGCCGTGTCAATGGCGTCGTTGGTGAGGTCCTGGATGACCTGGGATAACCTCAGGTCGCGGAGGCTGGCGGTGCTCGCGCTGTAGGTCGGACCTCTGGGGGATTGTGGGTAATGAAGCAGTAGGGTCGGAATTTTGGGAGACCCACACATTCAGCATTTACCCATTTATCTTATTGATAAAATTAGCAGTCTTTACACACATAGTATGGACACAAACACTCACACACACACACACACACTCACATAAACACACACACACACACACACACACACACACACACACACACACACACACACACACACACACACACACACACACACACACACACACACAGGCACACTCAGTATTACACTGTAAGTAACATACCCATACAGCAGTGTTCTCACCAGGATTTTTTCACAGCTTAGGGGGCCACAATTCAGCAAAGACACAGACACACAGAAAAGCCAAGTACTTGTCTTTAAAAGGACAAAGAAGAGAAACTGACCTGGAGAAGGAGTGAGAACTACGAGATTTCTTCTTCCTCCAGCCTCCTCCTCCTCCTCCTCTGAAGTTTCCCCATCTCCTGAACCGCCGCGGCATGTTGGCAGTTCTAACACAACTTACAGTAGATCAAGGGCTGCAAAAAATAAGGAGCAATACAGTATAAATATAAGTTGTCCTGCTGAGTAAAATGGTCAACTCTAAAGAGAAGCTTGAGATAGCAGTCAAAATATAACAGTTGCACAAAAAATACTGGTATTCAATGTATATATACTCCCCTTATTCAGGACACCCCTCCAAATGTACGCTTTGGTACAGTCCAATTGACAGCTATCTGTCAAAAGGACCAAATTATCTTCCTTTACGGTGAAGTGTGAAGTGTGAAGTGCAGACGTGTTTTTCGAGACCTCCTGTTTCTCAAGCCTTTTTTCACAAAAAACAAGGCTTGTACAACAGATTTTTCTCAGCAAAGCAAGATTTTTCACAGCGCCAAAGTCACCGGAGTTATTAGGATATATTTAGTGGCGGCAAACCTGACTTTGACAGCCTACAGTACGGACTTTTCCTGACGACGACTCAAGAGTGGGAGGGCACCATTGTTATTCAGTGTTCCAAGTCAACCCAAGCCAACCCAAGCAAGGCGGATTTTTCCTCACAATCCACGACGGACTACCAACAACACTCTTAAAAGGACAACTCACAACTAAAGGTCAGTTACTGGGAGACTTGTGGCAAAGAACTCGACCTCACAGCCCTAATAATACAGACTTTTCCTGACGTGAGCTCAAGTGTGGGAGGGCGCCATTTTTTCAACCATTGTTTCAACTTATTCAAATCAACCCAAGCCAAGTCAGTCTCTTCTCCTGATCAAGGCAGACTGTCCACAACTTTCTCCAAGCATCTGTGTCTTTTCACCACACATCAAAGGTTGGTACTTCTCTAGTCTATGGTAGATTATTACATCCTTTGGACGCTGAAACTGAAAGGGAAACACATCTTTTTGAGACTCAGAACCCAAGCCAAGCCGACGCCATCTTGTTTTTGAACATTCTTGAAATTAGAAATCAGACTTTTTAGTTTCTCCTAGAGAAATACAACTGACTCTACAATAACAAATCATTCAGGTCCAAGACAAACTACAAACAGCTTAGTCAGCTTAGCTAAAAAAAAAGTGAAACTACCCACAACTTAGATAATAATCACTTAGGATCAAACTGGCGAACCTAGTAAGCTGACAACGAAAACAACAACAATTCAAAGGCATAGACCACCCCTCAACATAGGGTATGCCAAACACTAGGGCACAGAAGAAGAAACAAGAAAAGGAGGAAAAGGCTAGACTCGACCAAACTCACAACCCGCCTGAGAAAACACCAACAAAACCAAACCTCAATCCCTTGAGTACAAACAAGGCCAACAAACAGAAACCTAGTGGGCATTCTACATGCAAAAAGCAAACCACTCAGAAGCTTACGACAATTCAAGAAACTGACGAAGAAATCTGCATCTGTGGACACGACCACCCAGAAGGGGGCTGCTGGATCTGCTGCGACCAGTGCAACACATGGTGGCACAACACATGTGCAAAACTGTCTCACAAGGTTTGTAACTTTCTTCAAAAAAGCCAGGAACCTTACCACTGTGCAAAGTGCGTCACACAAGCTCTAAACCTCCAAGACTCTGACTCCGAGCGCAATAGAAAAGTCACAAACAAAGGAAACAAGGCAGAGACCACACAAGAACCACAGAAGAAAACTAACGCCCAAGACCAGACAGAACAAGTCATAGTGATAGACGGTATTCCCAGCCCAGAGAACTACAAAAACAGCTCGAGCATTCGTGCCGAAATTGCAAAGAACAAGCCACAGAGTGTTCACAACATCAACCTCACATACCTACTACCCAGAGGAGGGGTTGCCATCCACTGCAATAATAGCAAAACCACTGAAGAACTGTTACAACCGTGGGAAGAGGGTGCCTTTGGTGCCAAAGAAGGACAACTACAAAGCCACAAAATAAACCAATCATACGGAAGACGAGCAGTACTGAAGAACGTACCTGTCACCATCTCAGAGGAAGAGATCGAACGCGACATACATGAACAAACTGGAAATCTGGTCAAGGCACACAGATACCGCTATCAAGACTCCGGTAAACCTCTCCGAGTTGTTCGAGTTGAAACTACACAGGGCCAGCTAACTGAACTATTCCTGGAAGACCTGAAGCTAAAAGGAGAAACAATCACAGTCGAACCCTACAGAAGCAAAAGGAGCACACCAATCAGGTGTTACAACTGCCACAAACTCGGACATATTGCCAAACTGTGTAAGGAGGAAGCCAGCTGCATCAGGTGTAGCGGCCCCAAAAACCACCCCAACCCCTGCAAACCAAGGTGTGCCAACTGCAACGGAGCACATCCTGCCAACGACCCAAGGTGCAGAGAGTTTCAAACACTCAAACAGAATCTGGAGGCAAGACTCTACAGACAATACCTGTAGCACACAGTATGCAAACATATGGTCTTTTCCTGGTCTCCCTTCTGGTGAGCCTATCCTCTTGTACAGCCGAACACTCAGTAGAAGCAACAGACATGAATATTGCACAGGTTAACATCCGTTCCATCAATACCTCCAGTGCCTTGGTGGAACAAATGTGCACGAAGCAGAACATTGACATACTCTGCCTATCAGAAGTATGGAGCAAAACTGACAGGCCCCAATGCCTGAAAACATGGAATTGGATACTAAAAAACAGACAAAACAGAAGAGGAGGAGGCGTCGCTATAGTTACAAAGGATCACGTGAAAGTCATGGAGGAGAAGCTGAACGACACCACACACGCCGACATAGCTGCAGCAAACATATACACAGACGCAACAAGCTTCACTCTAGTATCAGCCTACGTACCACCTGAAGACAAAAAGGGCCTGGAAGAGGTGACTGACACACTGAAGAAACTGCTGCAGACTAACAGACCCCTGGTACTGTGCGGTGACCTTAACGCCCGCCATCCAGCATGGGGAGATGTAAAGGAAAACCAACTGGGACATCTGCTTAACAACTTCCTTGTAACAAATAACCTCCAAACAGCAAACAACAACAGACCAACAAGAGAAGATAGCATAATTGACCTGACAATTGTCAACAGACCAGCAGCTAACCTGATAGAAAGATGGAGAGTCCAACCGGAGGTGCAGCTCAGGACAGACCATCACCTGATAACCATGCAGATAGGCGGAAGAACCTAACATCAAAGAAGAAAGATGGGACCTCAGAAACGTAGACTGGAAGAAATGGGAGGAGACAACGGATGAACACTTCTCAAAATGGCTCGAGGAAGAGGATGACAACGCAGAGTTAACAGACCACAATGTCACAGAGCTGTACAACAGCTTCAAGACCACTCTGAGCAAATGTGCCGATGAAGTACTAAAGAAGAAGACAGTGACTAGACACAGCAAAGGATACTGGAACAATGCACTCGAGGAACAAATGAAGATCACCAAAAGAGCCCTGAGAAAATTCCGCAGAAGAAGAGACAACTCCAACCTCAGCAAATATCTACACGAGAAGAAAATCCTCACACAGATGGAAGAAGAAGCACAAAGCAAACACTGGGACCAACAGCTTAAGAATTTGGATACGAGAAAACCTCAAACCTTCTGGAAGACAATCAAGAGCAATCTAAATGGAAAGTCCAGAAGCACTGTACAACCGATAAAAACACCTAATGGAACAGTTGCGACCACTGATGCAGAGATTGCTAAAGTTGCGACCGAAACCTACGCCCCCAGTGAAGTTGAGCTAGATGGTGAACTCATACACTGGAAACAAGGAGTTACACAAGCTGTTCAGGCTGCAATCAAGCACGAAACAGAGAGGCTGAACGATGACGCAGAACAGGAAGACCCCCTAAACTCAGACATTGAGCTAGCAGAGGTACAGGCAGCGATCAGCAAGATGAGCAACATTTCCGCCCCTAGCCCCAAAGAAGGCATACTACCAATCATGATCAAGAAAGGAGGTGAGAGCCTCACACATGCGCTCCTACTCTTACTGAAACAAGTGTGGAGACTGGGCTCAATTCCCAGACCGATGAAGCAAGACACTAAAATTCTCATCAGAAAACCAGGCAAGGAAAGCTACAACTTGATAAAAATCGTACAGACCCATCACACTGTCCAGTGTGATCGGAAAAATCCTGGAAAGAGTGGTGAACGGACGTCTGACATGGTGGGCTGAAGTGAACAACCACCTAGCCCCCACACAGGAAGCCTACAGAAGACACAGAAGTGCCACACATGGGGTACTGAGACTAACACAAGACATCTCAGAAGGCTGGAAAGAGAACAAAAACCACAGTCGTGGTCTTCATGGACTACGAGGCATGCTTTGACCGCATCTGGCAGGAGGGCCTGCTCTACAAGCTGATGCAAAGAGGGATCAGAGGAAGAATGTTGACCTACCTGCACTCCTTCTTGAAGAACAGAGAAGCCTCCTTCAACATCAACTCAATCACCACAGAACCTCAGCTCAGCAACGTTGGCATCCCTCAAGGCGCTGTTCTGTCCACTACCCTGTGCAACCTGTACACTGCGGATGCCTATGTAAACACCACCCTTGACAACTACCAATATGCCGATGACGCCGCAGCCTGGAAAGCCGGCAATGACGTCCAAACTGTGAGGAACAGCGTGGAAAGTGACATAACAAATGTCATCCTCAAATGGTGCCCAACCTGGAACATGAAAATTGAGCAGTCCAAGACCAAAGCAATGATATTCTCGCCACCGCACGCCAACAACACAGTCGAGAAAGACCTGACAGTAGACAACAAAGCTATACAAGTCGTCACCTCCTTCAAACTCGTGGGAATCACACTGGACCAACAGCTAAACTTCGAGAAACACATCAGCAACACTCAGACGAAAGCATACAAGGCGCTTAAGGCAATCAGCAAGATCACACAAGCAAAAAAGTCACCCAACCAAGAGGCCCACATCCTCCTGTACACAACCCTGGTTCGTCCCATGCTTGACTACGGAGCAGAATGCGTAGTTTCGGCCGGAAACAAGGTGGAGAAGACATACTCACCCATCCAAAGACAGGCACTCCTCGCTGCCACAGGGTGCCTGGAGAGAACTAGCACAGAGGCTCTTGAAGCCATCACAGGAGTACTACCAATTGATATACACCTCACATGCAGACAGGCTCAAACTTACCTAAGACTGACAACGAAACACACGGGAAACGCCATCTACGACACCATCTCCCACATGAGCACACGGAAGTCTAACACTCAAACTGGCACCCCAATCCACCTGCTGCAAACCAGATTCAATGAAATGAAGGGCGACATTGATGAACACATGATGGACAAGGAACCGTACTATGATGCAAGACTCCCTCCCTTCGCTATTGGCTCCATCACAGGCACATTCGTAACTGAAACCAACACTACAGAGGGAAAGGACAAGGCAAGAAGCAAAATCCTAGACATCCTGACAGAAATAACCAGCAGCACTACACCTACCACCGTAATATTCACAGATGGCTCTGCCCTTGGTAACCCAGGCCCCACTGGGTGTGCCGCAGTCATCTATGAAAGATGGGGTCACACAGAACCGTTCGCAGTTCGCAAAGCAGTAGCCGCTAAGTCCAACAACTATGAGGGGGAACTGGAGGGACTTCATCTGGCCATAGACACCATCACCCGCAGACAAACCACAAGCAAGAGAGTACTCATCCTGTGTGACTGCAAAGCAGCAATCGAGAACGTCATAGGAGTACAGCAGGTGGAAGCCTACAACGCCCTGGTACACACCATCAGAAACAAACTACAAGCACTCCGACAGCAAGGTATCACCACACAAATCACATGGTGCCCAGGGCACATGGGAATCTCTGGTAATGAATCGCAGATAACGAAGCTAAACTTGCAGCCAACGAGGCATCAACCAACCCCCAAAACAGCACATCCTGGACCAAGCATCAAGCCATGAAACACATTGAAACAAAAGCACATGAGAGATGGGATAGAAGAACAGAACTCAACACGACAAGTCAACACATGCTGAAGATAGGAACAAACATGAAGAAGAAAGGCAGAGCACTTGGTAGAAGAAGCACACAAGTCACCATCAACCAGCTGGTGAGCGGGCACACCAGACTCAATGCGTACCAGAACTGGAAAAACCCTGAAGTCTCACCATACTGCCCAAACTGCGACGCTCTGGAGACCACCAACCACTACCTGTACCACTGCCCCCGCTATGAGAACGAAAGGCATCACATGCTGATGGAAGCAGACAACATTCACGAGACCTACAACACAGCAAAGGAAGACAGAGACACGGACATCGTCACACTGGCCGGAATGAGAGTAGGACTTCCTGAAGGAGCAAACAACCAGATGTACCTAGCCCTCTCCCGGTACATCGAGAGTACGCGCCGATTTGACGTGCTCTCCTAGAAACTCTCTCCGCTTCACACAAGCACGAGTCACCAAGTGTTAAGACCTAGAGAGATCATTGACTCTGAACTGAACCAAGTGAAAAACTGAGCACCTAGAGACCACGTCTAGCGACATAATAGACGTTAAACAAGGACAACAACAACAACAACAACATTCCTTTAAGTTATAATCTTATTTTTCTACTGTTGGGGAGCATGCTAAGAATAATGCATGCACAGATGTTAGACTTAATAATCACAACAAAAATGTTCGGGCCTGTAATTATTCCCCTGAACTTTTGAGCTAAAACAATACTAGATTATTCACACTGAAATTCTGATGCCTGACTTTCTCCAGTTTGTCATTCATAGTTGACGACGATCGTTTGAAATCAACGCTTGAAAATTTACTACAAATTATCCCCGAACGACAAAACGCTACATACATTACATGTTTTGGTTCGCAAACAAAACCTTATCTATCTCTGTTAACGTTTCTGACAAAAATCCGTCCCGTACAGAGAAAAGACCGCGCATAAATTATCATAGACACATCAAACGACACACAAGTTTGCGCGCGCCACCCTCCCCAAATGTCGTCTGCCAACTACCCTGACGTAACTTACGGACGTTTTTACCATTTCACAGAACCTATAAACAACCTGAAGACTTGCACACATCTTTTTCTGAGTAAAAACCGCCCAAAGTGAGGAAATTTCACGTAAAAAATACAGATATTTGCCTGGATACTCACTTTCACACCGCAGAACCAGCGTCACAATTTCCCGCGAAACTTCTGATGACCTCTACCCTCATCTGGAACACTACATTACATAAAGGGGTGACCCAAAATGATACAGATATAAAGAATATATCTATAACTTCGACCTCTAACTTTATAAGATACTATAAGAACACTTTATGATATTATATATAATAATCTAGATAGTTTATGATGTAAAAGTCTTTAGTACATTCTTAAATGAAATGGTTTGTATTACGAAAAGTCTAACGTCCCCTATCTAACAATGGTATCACCCATGTCCACAGCGGCAAAATCAAACGGGTAAAAGAATGCATATAGATGAGACCCTGGAGACATGGTGACAAGAGGGGATGTGAGAATTGGGCGTCTTTTTGTTCTACCGCCAAAAGATGAAACAAGATTCTTACAATAAGAACAGATTCCTGGCATGTTTATTTATGTAGGTTCTTTTAATAACACAATAGGAACATTCAATCAGTCATGGACGAAATTCTACGAACAATGGTTTTTAATAATTAAAGCCATTTCACCCTCCTATCTTTATTCTTATTTTTACAAAACACGTCGAATCTAATTCTGGTTTCTATCAAAACAGGGAGAAAGTCATCCAAGCCACGGGTCAGGGTTCAAACTGAACGTGACATTAATGACATCTACCGATGTAGGTAAAAACTGCAGTAGGATAAAGATAAAAAGTATGCAAACCACCATTCTACCTCCATGAAAATACTATGTGTAAAAGTGGACGTATTGGGGACAAGAATTCCCTTTTCTTTCTTTCTTAAGTACTGTTGTGTGGAAACAAATACTAAGTACTTAATACTGTAAAGTCAAACATAATATAGATTCTGAAGAAACTGGTCACATTGACAGGCAGGTGGCCACTATAGACAGGATTGTTAATCTTATTACTTGGGACAATAAAAAAGGCTGCAAATTATTTTACACTTAATTCTTTATTCAGAGAGCCATTCGAGAGACTAGTCTTCCTGGACATCGATGCTGTACTTGTGACAAGATGATGATAAGAGATTAAATCATGGAGTGTTTTTTCTACCTCCTGGATGATTGAATAGTCTATGAGTATCTTTAACTTTCACCAACGATTCTTACTACATGTTCTATGTTGAGATGACCTTGAATCATGTCAGTTCCACAGCCGCAGCGCAGTTATAATATCCCGTCTTACTGTCCGAGGAGAACCTCTCAGACAGATGTATCGAGTTCAAGTCCGTCTTGCCGAAGTGAAAGTCCCCGAAGATCTTTAAGACGTTCCGAGCATCGAAGGACTCCCTCTCCTTGAGCGGCCGGCCCTTCCCAGCCTTTCTGCTGGATTTGTCGGGGCTGGCGCTCGGATCCCGCCGGAATAACGTGTTCATGACGGTCGTGTGGAGTTTGACGCGGTCGTATTCTTGCTCGGTCAGCCCCGCTGACACAAACCGCTCCACAACCCCGTCCGCCATCGTCTGCAGTTTGTCGGAACCATCAGGCAGATGCACCTGGGAAAAAAATAAATAAAAAATTTACATCATTATGCGACGGGGGCCGACATCGTCTAACAGATACCTTTGACCGAGTGTTGACGTCACACTTCAAAGAAGCCATGTGACAAGCCTCACTGGGTCAGTCTACTGAGGAAGACCAGAGTGACTGGTCGAAAGTTCTAGGTGAGAGAACTTTTTGTGTTGGATCAAAAGTTTTAACTTTAAACATTATGAATATGATGTAGTTACTTGGACTAGACTATGCCATTGTTATCATCTATAGTCATTTTTTTCTTATTTTGTAACACCATGTATGTGTAAGGATACATGTCTATGGACTTATTTGAGCCTCTCTATGTATTTGTGGATTCATTATGTTTACTTCTAAATTGTTATTGCTCAGTTTCCTCTTCTTCTTCTCCAAACACATAAGGTCAATGACCTTGACCAGAAGACTGTCACGATGGTAACTGGAACTGTAGCACCCTGTGGTGTTGGGTTACATTGTGTGGCAAGTTGCAAGACAGAGTTGGACTAGTATCACCATGTTGCAAATGTTACCTTTCTACTAGTTAGGACTTCAGTCATATAACCTGTATGTTGTAATATCTTGTTTGACTCTCACCTCTTCCCTCATGACATAATGAGTCTAAGTCTAAGTCAAACTTTAATCTGGGACACAAGCTCCTCCTGACACTCCTGTAGGACTCTCTCAGCAAAACAAATAAACAAACAAACAAGCCTGTGCATACAGCACGTCCACCATGGCAGGGTCGTCGTTCATGTACTCAATCCCACGCACGTCCACCTGGAATTAAGGGATAACTGGTTTATTTTCAGTAACAAAAGAGCGGGCGAGGTTAGACATTCAGTAATTCAACAAGGAACGCTAATCGTGCTGTTTCTAAACCTAGCTGTTCTGCACCTGAGTTAAGTGAATTGGATTTTAGACCTCAACACTCTACTGTGCATATTCTCGCGTCTGGGAGGTAGCCAGCTAGCATAAGTGGGTGATTTTCCTACATGCGTCTCTAGTACAGTGAGGTCAGAGATGGCTTAATGCTAAGTGACAGTTTACCTGGAGAGGCTTTCCCCTGAGAAGAGGAGACACGAGATCCTCCACACACTCCTTTAAGACCCTCTCAGCCGCGGCCACTTCCTTCTCTGTCAGCAGAACCAGAGTGGTCAGGGTCAGGTGCAGCTTGTCTGGGTTCTGGAATATACTCGCATCTATGCCTGTAGTAATGAATAAAGGAAAGTCATTACATCAACATCAAGGAATATACTGACATCTGTGCCTGCAGTAAGGGGACAAGAACATGGGGGAAAATTTAAGGGGGAAAATTGTCTGGGTTCTGGAATATACTCCCATCTGTACCTAATTAATTACATAAGGAAAATCATCAGGGGGAAAATACTCCAATCTACATGTATACTTGTGGTATAAAAGAAAGTCATCATCATCGGAAGTCGGGTTGTGCAAGACACATACAGCCCAAGAGTGATGAAGGATGATGATACTCTCCAAGCAGAGGTATGGGTTTTGGGGGTATTTTTAGCGTGTTTTTAGGCTTTTTTATCGGGGTTTCTCTTTTGCACTGAATTTTTTTTCTCCACTAAACCCAACTCTGCCGGCACTCACCTCGGGGAGGGGCAAACCTATTCAAAACAGGCGATAGTGCCCCTCCCCGGGAACCATCAAACTGTCATTAGGAATATCCATTTTATTGTGGTGGATTATCACACTTCTAGGCAGTCGGAAAGGCATTTATTGGGCCACACGCCTCCTGCTGACTGTGCCTATTCATGCGTCTGGTTCACACCTCCTTGCAGAACGACTGAAATGTGTTGAAGTGATTAGGTTTATAGCCCATTGAAGTTTTCGACTGCCTGCAGAGGTTGGTGGAAAAAAAAATTCAGTGCAAAAGAGAAACCCCGATAAAAAAAGCCTAAAAACATGCTAAAAATACCCCCAAAGCCCATACCTCTGCTTGGAGAGTAGGATGATGAATATGTTCAAGAAGTCCAGGTATCTACAGTAACTTCATGCTTCAGTTTAACCCTTACCTTGGTCCTGGCCACACTCTGCCAGCACGCTGGACTGGAATTCCTGGAAGCCCTCCTTGATGGGCGTGGTCGTCAGGGGCAACGACAGGAAGTGGGTGAAGGGCAGCTTGGCTCTTCCTGGAAAAAAGGAATGGGATTTTTCTGTTTGTGTCTTTCTTTGACTGCACATATTTTACACAGAAGTGAGGAAGATATGTAATAGTGATGTGAAGATGGATTTTGATTGAGAGCAATCTCCAAGTATCACATCCCCCCTGCACCCAGACCCACGCTGCTTACCTGAGTCTGTATCTGTATCCTCCACATGGCCGACAGAACCCCATCTGTCTGAACCTGTGATGACACGACCCCCCTTACTTACAGACCCCCCCTCAGCACACAGACCCCCCTTACTGACAGACCCCACTCAGGACACAGACCCTCCTGCTTACCTAGACCCCCCCTGCTTACCCGAGTCAGCCAGTATGTGTATCCTCCTCATGGCAGACAGAACCCCCTTTGTCGGACCCCGTTTCTCTGACCCCTCCAGCACACAGACCCCCCCTTATCACAGACCCCCTGCTTACCCGAGTCTGCCAGTATCTGTATCCTCCTCATGGCAGACAGGACCCCGTTTGTCTGACCCCCCCCCTTACTCACAAACCCCCCCTGCTTACCTGAGTCAGCCAGTATCTGTATCCTCCTCATGGCAGACAGAACCCCCTGTTTGTCCGACCCCGTGATGACGACCTCTCCCCCGGCGCCGACCTTGGGAATCTGCACCTGCGACCTTGTCTCCGTCTCCAGCCGTTTCTTCGTCTCCCCCTTCCGACCGATGATGAACTTGAAGAGGTCGCTGGGAAGGTCGAGGGTCAGCTTGTAGCCGCGGTCCGTCCTCTGGACCGGGATGATGTCACACGACTCATCGGCGTACACGTTATCCCTGCATCCTGTTGCCATGGCAACATCCTCCTCCTCCTCCTGCTGCTCATCTGGACCGGAGTCAGACAGGAAGTTCTTCCTGTAACATCTGCCGTCCACCCAGACCAGATCTGGACGCAGCACATCCATCTCTAAACACTGTCTCTGTCCAAGTGTTCAGCTGATTATCAGTCTATAACATGAAGAAGAATTTTATTGCACAACAGATGTAACGGGTACAACGTATGGCAAAACATTATACATAACATTACATATAGTTGGTGATGCTAACTAGGCAGCTACATTTATCATGTAGACTTTAGTTATTTTATACTCTGTTTTATTGCTCTTTTATGTTTTGTAATTTGCAATTAGCCTCCGGGCACGAATTTGTAATAAACCTTTCAATATGCTATATAAACGATATCTAACAGTTCTAAGAGATGATATTTCTAACTGTACTAAGAGTCTAAACTACTTTCATATACCAATGTATAGCAATAATAAAGAGATACTAATTATACTAATCTAACTCTATTGATAGTAATATAATATTGTGTCAGGAATGTACACTATAATATATTATACTAGTAGTGGGGAGGGAGGTGGGACCAGGTGAGAGGAGTAGCTCTTTCACCGTTGCAAGGGCAGAATGAGACGAACTGCGTGCCTGAACGTCTTCTCAGTTACATCAGAACGCAGACACTATCTTCCCCAGGACACACGTACCAGCTAAAGTAGTCTGCGACCCTCAGAAGACACAAGACAACTTTTTTTCTTATTTTCGGTGTCCGAAAGTTCGTCTGCAAGAACTGATGACGTCTGGTTATTACCCATGGTGCCGCGCGGGTAGAGGGAAGTAAGATGGCGGCCGTGAAGTGTAGAAAATCGTGCGGGAGACAGTCCGGGCGGTTTCTCCGGCTCTCCTGGCCCCTCCTGGCCGCTCTGATGCTCGTCTTACCGACGGTGGAGTCTCAGGATGGACCTGCAGCGGCCAAGACGACACCAAGGCCAGCGATCCCCGTTCTACCCACCGAGAAAGACTCGGAAAAGGCCGCGGAGGAGGATCACAAGTTGGACAGCCTGAATCTGATGATGTTTCTGTTCCTGTTGGTTTTGACCATCCTCACGATCTGGCTCTTCAAACATCGGCGGTTCCGCTACCTGCACGAGACAGGCCTGGCTCTGCTGTACGGTAAGCACGCTCAGAATTGATAAACAAACAAACAAGTAAACAAACAAACAAGAACGTAAGGGAACACCCGTGTGTGCATCTGATCACCCGGCCTGCGTTTTTAGACTACGCCGCACCACAGTGGAAAAATTGCAAAACAAAACGATCGGGTCAGAAATATCGTGTATAACTTGGTAAAAAGATAGCGAGGTGTACTTTCTAACGTTAGGAGAAAGAATTTTCAGTATGTTTTGTAGAAGAAAACACGGAAGTCGCTCCGATCCGACCTTGCTGAAAAGGGGGAGGGGCGGTGACAGGTGTCTGGATGGTTTGTCGGCCCGGGTTTAGATTATCTTTACTTTTTATTCTTTAGCAAAGGAGAACAGAAATAAAACTTCGCATACAGACAGAAAAAAACCAAGGTCGTACACATCCTTACAGTTCCGTGTGTGTTGTCTGCTGGTGTAGCCAGCCCGGTGTGTGTTTGTGTGTGTGATACTCTAAGCACTACAGAAGACACCCGCTGTGCATATTGATGCATGCTGCGGAGCTGACTATGTATAATCATTCCCAGACTCGCCTACACATTCCTACACACTGGCAGTACACAACAGTGTGCCCGCACATACTAACTAAAGCCCACTGTATTATGCACATGTGTGTACCTGGTGATTCTAACAGGGCATATATTAAATTACGTCATTAATATTATTCATTGCCTCAAAAGTCATCTGCATGTCTGTCTGTAAAATTTCACCACAACACATTTAAGCCTTAGATATTGTTGTCATAAGAAAAGTGAAAGGCATCCAAACATTTTTGTTTATAGAAAATAAACAGGTGCCCTACAGGTAAGCACCTGTCCTGTGCAGGTGTGTGAGTTATTGAATGAGTAAATATCACATGACAGGAAACCTGACCTCAGACGGCCATGTTGGATGGGGTTGAACCATTCCCGCCGTGGGGGCGGGGTAAAGTTATTATTTTTTTTTTGATGTTGATAAAAAAAGGAATCACTAATTCTTTTTTAAGTTACTAAGAATAAATTTTTCCCTGCTGAATTTTTTCAGCTTGTTTTTTTGTTGCAGCCTGAATAATTAATTGGTTTCTGTGCTGTGGTACCATTATATATAGTTTACATGCATGTTGCACATATTGGCAGTTTTCGGATGCAGATGTAATGCTACATGTAAGGCATTGGGTAAATGTATCGGGTATAGATGGATAGTTTATTGACATGTACTCAATTACAAATGAAAGGAATTCTGGTACATGGCTTGGCTTGTGGTACTTACTTACCTCCAGACATAACAGAAATCAATACTTCCAGAACCTTCCTCGGCGAAAGGAATCCTTACATAAATTTTTACCCATCTCTTGTCAGTGCGAGTGACTTTGTACATCACTACATGTACATGATTCAGTCATTAGGCCACACCAATTTAATTTGTTGTTTGTCAGATTTAAAAAAAAATCTAAAGCAACAGGGCAAAAAAATGATTTTCTATTGTTTCTTTCTTATGATAATACTTTACTACCAACATACTCATGTGAAACTGTTTGGCGCAACTCAGTCCAAATTTTTAAAAAATGCCAGTGACGCCGTGTGTCTTTTGTCGGCAGGTCTGATCGTCGGTGTGATAATTCGCTACACGAGTAACGAGGTCGTGCCGCAGCGGCCGGTGTCGCAGGTGGTTGCCGCGGGCAACATCGAGGGGGACCCGCCCGGCAACATCGTGCTGAACGTGAGCGCGGGAGAATTCCTGTTCTCCAACCAGGGCCCGTACCAGGAGAACCAAGTCACGGTCATCAACCCGGAGCTCAGCAAGGTGAGTTTCTGTTCTCCAACCAGGGCCCGTACCAGGAGAACCAAGTCACCGTCATCAACCCGGAGCTCAGCAAGGTGGGCAGGATGGAGGGAAGGAATGAGTGGAGGAATGAATGAATGAATAATAGAATGAATGAATGAATGAATGAATGAATGAATGTGTATCAGGAGAACCAAGATACAGTTATCAACCCGGAGCTCAGCAAGGTGGGCAGGATGGAGGGAAGGAATGAATGGAGGAATGAATGAGTGAATAATAGAATGAATGAATGAATGAATGAGTGAATGAATGAAAGAATGAATGAGTGAATGAGTGAGTGAGTGAGTGAATGAATGAGTGAATGAATGTCTTATGAATGAACGAAGGAACCCAGATGGCCACACAGTTTTGCATACATGTTTGATCCGAACTGATGTTGATGTAAATTCTCCCCTCTGCAGGCGACCTTTGACCCAGAAATATTTTTCAACATCCTGCTGCCGCCAATCATCTTCCACGCTGGCTACTCGCTCAAGAAGGTAGGAAGGTCACTGGGTGAAGGTCGTTGGGTCAAGGTCGTTGGGTCAAGGTCGTTGTTGTTTCAGTTGAGGCCAAAGAAACTTGATTTTTCTAAGATTGATTTTCTCCAAAGACTTTTTCTATTCTGTACCTAGACTTACCTGTAAGTACCAATTTAAACAGTTCTTTAAAAGTCAATAAGAAGTTAAGAATGTGGAGCAACTTTCCTCAAAAACTGTTGGAGTACTGTAGTGAATTTTTCTTGAAGTTAGCAGTTGAGGGTGACAATGCTGTAATGATTTAGATTTATAGTTGAGAGGTAACAGTCCTGCCCTATAGTTGTGGCTAAAAATGATGATAAGATGATGGTAATGATGATAAAATGATGATAAAATGACGATAAAATGGCAACAATGGTGTAATGATAATAAATGATGATAAAATGATAATAGTGATAACAAATTATAATAGATAAGTATTACTGATTACGACTCTCCCGTGTTACAGAGACATTTTTTCCGGAATATCGGCGGGATCCTGACGTACGCGTTCCTGGGAACGGCCGTGTCCACTTTCATTGTGGGGTGAGTTCTGCCATTTTCTCTTTTCAACGTGGCTTAGTCACATCCATCGACCATAATACTCTTCTTAGCATACTTTTCTGTAGAGGAATCAGAGCTCTGGCCAGCACCTATTTTTCCATCAATTGCAGGAACTTTATTAGCCTGGGTACCATCCGGATTTTCGCTACACTGATTTTTTCGAGCGTTGTGTAGCGAAAATCCGGATGGTACCCATGCTAGAACTTTATGGCGTGCGACAGAAAAAACTCTTAACCAAGCCGTCAACCTTGATGGACAAAGTTGATAAAAATCTTGGGTAGAAATATAAGTACATCCAAAAGACCACTCCCAACCACTCTCAACCCCATGATTTGCCCCTCAAAATGTGAGAAAATGCAGTTTTTAAAGGCTTGAAAATACGAAATTTGCCCCCAGAACCTCTGTAGATTGCAAACACTCTCTTCCGAGGTTGCTGACAGAAAAAAAAACAACTTTGAGCTGGCTGAGCTCTGAATCATGTGAATTTATTATCAGTCCCATTTGACAGAATGTTGATAATGTTAGAACAATAAATTATTCATCATACTATAATTAGATTGATGAAGCAGTTAGTCTAGGAGCAGTCTCAGAGCTAGACCTGAAGCACACCTACCAGATTGGAATTCCCCCCATTCACTAATCTGCTTGTTTCCTGGCATGTGTCCCGGAATCTGCTGCACTGCAGAACATCACTCATTCCTGGAACTTTTCCCAGAAACCCCCATGGGCACTGCCTTATATGGGCATGGCACTGCTAATGAGTCATGGGTGTGATTATGGAGAATATGTGGTACATCTGATTCATAACTATAAGGATTTTCATACATTAGGGTAAAATTTTAAATCTGTTTGATAGCAAAATACTGTCATACTTTAGGGAAAACAGCATTGTTGACAAAAAAAAATGCATCTGTCCACTTCTTCAACTAATAAAATGTATTTCAATGCTTGTTGATCAGAATTTTCACTAAATAGTTATTAGTAGTAAGAATTTATATAGATGTACCAATCATAGAATACTACAACCGTAATGTGATATGTGTGATCAACATGCGAATTCTCCCCTCCCAGGTCAGTGATGTACGCCTTTGTGCTGATTGGTGCAGCTGCAGATATAGACTTCTCATTCGTCGACTGCCTCTTCTTCGGCGCGGTCATCTCGGCCACTGACCCCGGTAAGTCGTCTCTGATTGGTCAGTCAGTGTCACATGATATGCAGAAAACCTGAACTCAAAATACTCTCCTGGAACTTTTTTTTAGCTTGCTGGGGTTTTGCAGTTATGTAAGCTAAAAGAACTGAATGAATCACATTGCAGAAAATAGAAACAACTAGAAAGGTAACATTTGTAAAGCAAATGCACCAGAGTATTTCTGATATTTGTGTTTTACATGATTTTTTGTCCTCTGACCATTTCCCCCTCCGACTTACACTGGACTGGTCCACAGTTCCTTTGTTTACTAACACATATGTTGATGGGGATTCCCTGCCCTGCAGAGTAAATTGGGATCGTGCGTCACAGGACGACTTATTGCATTACCATACTTGTACTGATTACTTGCTGTCCAGAATTTTGTTGCCTACTGGGGCAATTCGTTGTTCTGACTCCAATTGTACCAACGAGAACCATAGGGACTCTTTAGACCAATTTTGTAATGTGATTATTACAGCTCTGCAGGAAGCTGCCAAAGATTCCATTCCTAGCAGAAAATCTAATACGTCTCATTCGGTTCCCGGTTGGAATGATGTTGTCAAGGAAAGTCATAGTGCTGCCAGAGAGGCATTTACTTTGTGGTGCGAGAATGGTCGACCTAAACATGGTGTCTTCTGGGAACTTATGCGTACTACAAGGGCAAAATTTAAATACTCTCTCCGACAATGCCGTCGGAACGAAGCCCAACTCCGGGCCGACTCATTGGCAAAGAGTTTAGATAAGGGGGGAAGTAAGGGCTTTTGGTCAGCCCTTCGTTCCCAGAACAGCACCAGACCTAGTCTCCCCTGTACCGTAGATGGTCACTCCGGGATGTCGGAGATTTCTAACATGTGGAAGAACCACTACAGTACACTGTTGAATTCTGTAAATACCACTGTGCATAAGTCGTTTGTAATCAACACAGTTGAGTCAGGTGTTGCTGACAACCCAGGAATGTATGTATCAGTAGACGAGGTATCTGAGGCAATCAACAAGTTGACCAATGGTAAATCGTGTGACGCTGACGGGATTGCAGCCGAGCACCTGAAATATGCAGGTCCCCGGCTGTCCACATTACTATCCTTGTTATTTACTGCGGTGCTCCGGCATGGGTACATTCCATCTAGGCTACTCTGTACGGTTATGATTCCCATCATCAAAAAACAGAATGGTAGTTTGACTGATAGAGATAACTACCGGCCAATAGCGGTCGCCAGCCCGTTTTGTAAAGCTCTGGAAATTTTACTTCTACAGCGCCTAGAGGAATACCTCCATAGTCCGGATAACCAGTTCGGCTTCAAGAAACATCATGGCACTGACATGTGTGTGTTTGCGTTGAAGGAGGTAATCAGCTACTATCAGAGCCGTGGCTCCCCCGTGTTTGTATGCTTTCTCGACGCCGCAAAAGCGTTTGACCGTGTCAATCATTGGTCACTCTTTAAAAAACTAATTGATAGGCACGTTCCATTGTACATAGTCCGGCTACTCGTAGTCTGGTATAATACTCTGACTTTTAGGGTGCGTTGGGGCAGCTCCCTTTCTGACAATTTTACTATAAGTAACGGTGTGCCACAGGGTAGCCTACTGTCTCCCTTTCTCTTTAATGTTTACATTTCTGACCTTAGTGTTGAGCTGAACTCGAGCGGTGTTGGCTGCTATATTGGCAGTTACTATTGTGAACCATTTTTTTGTATGCAGACGACATATGTATTATTTGTCCTTCTGTTAAAGGACTGCAAAAACTTATTTCGATTTGTGAAAGCTTTGGTGATCGCAACGATATTCTCTTCAGCGAAAAGAAGAGCCATTGTATGTACTTTCCATGTGACAGACTTCGGTTGAACTGTGCGCCCCCTTCAGTAAGGCTTTATGGAACTAACCTACAGTATGTTTCTTCTGTGAACTACCTGGGCAACCAGATAACTACCAACCTGTCTGATGACGAGTCAATCCGTACTCACATCAGAGGCTTCTACACCAGAGCCAATTCCTTAGTTCGTAAATTTAAGTTTGCCTCTACAGAAGTGAAGCGCACGCTTTTCAACGCATACTGTTCCTCTATGTATTGCGCCCAGTTGTGGACACGCTACACTCTGGGCGCTATTCGCAAACTCCGAACGGCTTATAACAACGCCTTTAGAATATTGTTTTCATATGGAAAATTCGAGAGCGCCAGTCGAATGTTTGTGACTGAGGTTGTCGATACCTTCGATGCTCGCAGACGTAAACTAACACACTCTTTCACCAATCGGCTCCTCAACAGTAATAACAGTATCATAAAACTCGCAATCCACTCAGACTTATCATCCACCAGTCACTACTGGGATCACTATATCGGCCTAGTCTACCGGTAAGGCCCTTCTCGTATGTATATGTACCGAACCCTACCGTTTTTATTATGTGTGCACCTTGTTATTTTAATTGTTTGTCTACTATGGGCCAATTTGCGCCTGAAATAAAGAATAAAGAAAGAAAGAAAATGCATAATGTTTACCTTCGTGTATGGTCTGCTCTGTTAATTCTTACTCAAACACATTGAATTTCACATATATGGTGACAGGAGTCAAAATTCCTTCTTTTATGAAATTGCAACAAGATGTAACCCAACACCAGTTACCATGGTGACAGACGTCTGGTTCAGGTCATTGATCAAGTTATTTGTTTGGAGATCTAGAAGAGGAAGAAGAAACAGAGCAAAAACAACATGTTTTCCTTCTGCGAAGGTAAACATAAGGCATGTATGGGCACAGAGCTGCATTTATTTAGTATTTCCATCCCTGTTACTGAGTTCTATGGTCTGTTCCGTGTGTTTCAGTGACGGTGCTGGCAATTTTCCACGACATGCACGTGGACGTGGACCTGTACGCGCTCGTGTTCGGCGAGAGCGTCATGAACGATGCAGTCGCCATCGTACTCTCATCGTAAGTACATGTACCTACGTATAAGTAGTACCTTCAGTAGTACCTGCTATATAGTACCTTTAGCATTACCTCCTGTAGTACATTCTACAGTACCTCCTGCAGAATCTGTAGTACCTTTAGTAGTACCTTCTTAGTACCTCCTGTAGTATCTAATCAGTAGTACATGCTGGAGTACTTTAATCAGTAGGACCTTTAGGAGTAACCCCAGCAGTACCTTTAATAGTACCTGAAGTCTATAGGCATAGTACTTTCAGTATTACCTCCTGTAGTTCCTTCAGTAGTACCTCCCGTAGTACTACCTTCAAGTTGTTACCTTTGGTAATGCCTTCAGTAGTACTAAATTATTCAATAGTATTTTCAGCATGTATAGTACCTCCAGTAGTATACTAGTAAGTACTACCTTGTTACCTGCAATAGTACCATGTTACAATACTAGACCAGGTGCAGCTGTAGTTAGTTCTACCCTCTTCAATACAGAACGTACTGCAGAGTTTTGTACCTGCTACATGGAGCCTGAGTAACTGTCCCTGTCCTCATAACCAGTAAACTACAGCACATTAATTTTCCATCTCTCCCCCCAGAACGGTGGAAGGCTACGGGAAGACGACCAAAGCGTTTGACGGCATCGCCTTCCTGACGGCCTTCGGGAACTTCCTGGGAATCTTTGCCGGGTCCTTCGGGATAGGAGCTGTGATGGGCTGTTTTACTGCTATCATATCTTTTACTGTGCAGAGTCAGCTGTGTTTGTTTGTTACCTAGTACATCTATTAGATACATGTGTGTGTGTGTGTGTGCATGTGTGTCTGTGTGTGTGTATGTGAGTATGTGTGTGTGTCTGTGTGTGTGTCTCTGTGTGTGTGTGTGTCTGTGAGTGTGTGTGTGTGTGTGTGTGTGTGTCTGTGTGTGTGAGTGTGTGCGTGTGTGTGTGTCTGTGTGTGTTGTCTGTGTGTGTGTCCTTCAGGATAGTCAGCCGTGTTTACTTGTTTGTTCGTTTGTTTTGTTACTAAATATTGCCACTCAAGGCTTGCGAGGTTATGGGTAAATACACAAAAATCCTTACTGTACTAGCAATGTACTGTACTAAACATCAACACTAAATAAAAATGTAAACCTTGTGCAATGAGCATACACAAGTCAAGTATAGAAGTACTGCAAGTTGAAAAAGCATGACCTTACAGTAGAACACAGAAAGATGTTTGTTGAGCAACCCCTTGACTTATCCAAACAAGAATGCAATCGTCGGAAAGTCTGTTCCACTATATATATACACTCTTTGAAATGCTGTATTGTTCCAAACTCAAGGCTAGGAAAACTGCAAGAAGAAACATTTTTGAATTTGTAGCTATGTTCACTTCTGTGCATTCTCCTTAACTCCCCCCCACCTCACCAAATTCACCAAGATCCGAGAACACCCCCTACTGGAGACCTGTATGTTCTTCCTGATGTCTTACAGCACTTTCCTTATGGCGGAGGCTCTGGGCATGACAGGTGAGTAGGGGGG